TTCTGTAATTGCCCTAAATAACTTATATCGTAGCCATCTATGTCTACTACTATTAAATCAACATTAAGCCAACTGCAAACTATGAACATAAATGTCCTTTGTAGGGATTCCTTCCCATATCGGAATTGCCCATAATGAAGAAGTAGATTCCTTGGCAAAACTAGCAATCTCAAGTTCGGAAGCTGTAGAAATCCGAAGCATTCCAAATCTAGATATAAAACCTATAATCAAGAACTTAATTATCAATGATTGGCAGACCAAGCGAAATCAGTTAACATCCAAACTATAAGAAGTAATACATTCTATATTACTTTGGACATCAACCCCAAATAAGCGTATACATCAAACCATCCTATCTCGTCTGAGAATAGGCCACACCGCCATCACCCATAAACATCTGCTGAAGAGTGAATTAAAACCACAGTGCTACGTATGTGATATTGTGCTCAGTGTTCGCCATATTTTACTGGAGTGTCCTGGAGCGACTGGAGAGACTTTAATATAAATTACAAGATACCTTGCAGCCAATATTAAGTGACGGAACTGATATGAAAAATTTGACATCATACTTATATTCCATAAATGTGCTAAATAAATAATTGTAAAACTTTAAATTGTACAACGCCAATGACCCTATGAGGTTGAGGCATAAATAAATAAAAAAAAAAAAGTATAAAAAACTTCTTCTTCTTCTAGTTCCATGACCGTTATCGATCGTTGGATATCATGTTGGCTACCATATTCGCTATCGTGACTTTATTGACAGCAGCTCTAACTAACGATGTAGTTGATTTTCCATACCATTGCCTTAGATTTTTCAGCCATGATGTTCTTCTACCAGGACCACGATTACCTTGGATCTTTCCCTGAATGATCAGATGTAAAAGATCATATTTTTCAGGGTGTCTCATAATATGACCGAAGTATTCCAGCTTGCGTTTCTTTATTATATTGACCAGTTGTGTTGTTTGGTTCAGCCGTCTAAGGACCTCCTCATTTCTAACTCTGTCGACCCAGCTTATTTTCAGTAGTCGTCTGTATACTCACATCTCAAACGCTGTCAAGCGTTTAAGCATAGCCTCAGTTAGGGTCCACGCTTCTACTCCATACAGCAGGACAGGAAAGATGTAGCAAGATATCATACGAACTCTAAGGTCAATGCTAAGATCATGACTGCAAAGTACGTTTCTCATTTTTACAAAGGCAGCTCGGGCTTGTTCTATTCGGCTTTTAATTTCTGCGGTTGGATCCCAGCTTTCATTGATATTACTGCCGAGATACACGAGTTTCTCTACTCTGTCCAGTGTGGCATCTCCGACTTATATACCGTCATCATGTATATAATTTTGTTTGCTAACTATCATATATTTAGTTTTCTTAACGTTGAGTTTTAATCCATACTGATCACAAGTCTGTTTTATTTTGTTCATTAGAGTTTGAAGGTCTTCTCCGCAATTGGCAAGGACTAAGGTATCGTCGGCATATCTAATATTGTTGACGGTTACTCCATTCACAATAATGCCTTCGGTTGTCTCCATTAAGGATTCCTTAAATATTTCCTCCTAATATAAGTTAAAAAGTAAAGGCGACAATATACAGCCTTGTCTCACTCCTCTTTTTATATTTATTTCATCCGACAGTTCTTGTTCAACGTTTATTCTTGCCACTTGTATTCGTTTTTATCTTTATTTCTGACTTCTCTTCTTTGATCCATAAGTCTCAGTATTTCTTCTGTCATCCACCCTTGTTTTTTTTCTTGCTTTTAGCGCACTCAATTTTGTTTCTTGAACAGTCTTTAAGATGTCTTTAATTCTCGTCCAGTTTTCCTCAGTACTTTCTTCTTTGCTTGATGTTAACTTCATCTTTTGTTCTAATATACTAGTTATTTCTTGTTTTACAGTATCATTTAGCATCGTTTCTCTATCAATAGTAACTGTTTGCTTATTCGTCCTTGCAACTCTTTTTAATCTCAGTCTTATTTTTCCTACTAAAATATTGTGATCTGTTGGTACATCTGCCCCTGGATATGTTTTTACTGATAATACTGAATTTCTGTATCTCTTATTTATACATATGAAGTCTATTTGGTTACGAAAAACTCGTTCAGGTGTATCTGCTGGTGATTTCCAGGTGTAAAGACGACGTTTTGGAAGTTTGAAAATTGTGTTCATTATTACTAATTGCTTTTCTACGCCAAAAGATGCCAACATATCTCCTCTTTCATTTCTTATTCCCAGACCATATTTCCCTATGACATCTTCCTGTTCACCTTCACCATTTTTTGCATTAAAATCTCCCATGATAATATTGAGATCGTGTTTCTTTGTAGGTGCTAATACTTTTTCTAAATCATGATAGAATTTTTCAATTTCTTCTTGTTCATAGTCTTGTGTGGGTGCATATACTTGTAATATGTTCACATTGATTGTTGTTGATTGTATTTGTATCATCAGTATGCTGTCTGAGAATAGGACGACGTTTTTTACATCTTCATCTGTTTCCTTCGACACAAATTATTGCTACACCATTTTTGTGTTTTGAGCTGTCTTCTCCTGAATAGTATACAATGTGGTCATCTACAGTTACTTTTCCAGACCCCGGCCATCTCATTTCACTTATTCCAAGGATACTTATATTTAGACGCTTCATTTCTTTAATGGTGTTATGAATTTTTCCTGGTTCGTACATGCTTCTTACATTCCATGTACCTATTTCTCTTTCTTTAGAAAATGTGTTCATGTTTCTAGCTGACCGGGAGATTCTTAGCACCCCTGCTCCATTTAAGGAGCGCCCGTACTCGGGGCCGTTGTATTTATCAGCCATTTCCATGATTGTTTCTTGGGAAAATTAGGCTCTAGGTGGTTTCCCGTTGCCTTCCTAGAGTGTGTAATAGAAGGAAATATAGTGACACGTCTGCCCTCGGAAACCTAATAGCCATTCGGGGTCGGAAGAAACAAGAGTTAGCCAAGAGAGGCCGATAGGGAAGATTAAAGACAAGAGGATAAGACAAAAGGACTCAAGACAAGTTGAAAAAGAGTGAAATGTGAAGGCCCTTATGATGCGCCAGGTGCGTTTCATAAGCGTATGAGTATTAATACACTTTGTGTTCCCGCTCATACCTCGGGGTATTGACTACAGACTGTATGGCTCGTCCAGCATGCCATAGCATGGAGGGAAGGGCGCATGACATTTTTTACAATGTAGGCACCTCAACTCCACGGTCTGACAACATAAAAAACTAGAGTACCGCTGATTGATTCCAATAGAGGTTACTTATTATTTTTAAGTCTTTTCCATCAATCCCTGTCCTCTTCAGCACTTCCATCATTTGTTCATGTCTGACTCTATCGAAAGCCTTCTTGTAGTCAATCAGGCATGCAAAACATTACAGCTGACATCTCTGAACCAATACCTCCACGCTAAATAAAGCTTCCCTCGTACCAACGGCGTTCACAAATCCAAACTGATTGGGCGCAATTTGTTCCTCGCATTTCCGGTAAATTCTTTTGTGGATGACTTTTTAAAACAGCTTCAGCAGATGGCTCATTATCAGCAGATATGAGGCACTTTTTAGAAAAGATAGATAACTGATATCTGAACTAAAACAGTGAGCACAGAGTAAAAATCAGAAGTTTTCTACTTGTTCGAAACCAAGATTCACATTCTTACTCCACGATTTACAAAGCAAGCAGAAAGATGAATAAACCGACATGGGGAATTCTAACAAGTAGAAATCATCGGATTTTTACTCTTTTCTTTATCCTTATATGTCGCCATTTGCGTCTTAAAACAGTTATTATTACTTCCTTTGATGGAAAAAAATTGATTTCACGTTTAGAGTTTTTTACTGAATCGCTCTGACGAATCCTGAAAGGACGAAATACCTATAAGTAAATTCTAGAGGCCTACACATGAAATCAAATCTGAACTGTCCTAGTTTTAGAAAATTATTATGCTTTTGATTATTTAAGATTATCATGCTTTTGAGTAAAATCTGATCGTATTATTGTATAGGTAATACTATTTAGAGTAATGCTGGTTCCCTCATATTTATCTTTCATTATCTACTGGTTTTCTGTTTTAGTATGGTTATGCACCTATGATTTTAAAATGTATTAGTCAAATCTGTGTTTTTGTAAGCTAAAGGTATAAAAAAATTTTAGATTTAAGATTCGGGCCACCCTGTAACAAACAATTTTGTAAGAATGTCAATCCCCGCCACTCGAATTAGTTTTCAGAACTGGTACAACCTAGAATCTACTACTCATTACAATCATCCAAATAAATGTTTCATTTCACTCAGCTGCGAACATATGATTGTAATATTTTGTCTGCTACGTCAGTTAGTTCGTCATTAGCAATTTCCTAGAACCTGAACCTGCGCATATCGACCTGTTGACCGAAAGTATACACCTCGTCGTTTTAATTTCGGCCATTTTTAAGTTCTCTATGGGTAGGTAAAAGTGTATGTTGTGATTTTTCTCTTGCTCATCCTAGCCGCCATGGGATTCTAGTTGCGAAAAACCTTGCACACGCAAGTGTGCCTTACAACCTAGTAAATATGACGTAAGTTTTATTTAATTTATTGCGATTTTCGTAAAATTATCAGTTTATTTGTTTATTGTTTAAGCCAGCGTCTGCTGTATTGTATTGCTCACAATACTGCTGCGTTGTCAGATTGTTATGTTAACATTTCGAGTATTTTGACCTAAAAAATTGCAATATGGCAAATACTTAATATTGATTAAAAATTCACGTTTTGAAGTAGTGATTTCCTGTTATAATTTATAATTGTAAACAAATTGAGAATATAGGTACGCATTCTTTTTCATAGAAAACAGACAGGGATTTTAGAAAAACCAGCTGTTAGTAATTTTCTCATTACTGCTATTGGTTCCAGGTCATATAAACAACTTAAAAAAATATATTGTTGATCTATGTACCAATCTCAATTTCGTAAGAGTGCCGATAATTGTTTTACATGAAACTTTTATTGTAGTATTGATTGTATGACTTGCAAATAAAATCAAAAATATAGTTCATCAAATCTTATCTCAATATTGCAGTAATCATCTCATCTATGTAAGTAATTTATATCTCGTCTTTTAATGAAAAAATCTAAACTTCAAGGATGAATTTCGGAATTTAACACAAAATTTAATCTAAAAGTTACTAATACACTATGAATTACATCTATTCTGTATCTCCACTATGCAGGTAGTTCCATCCCCTAACAGATTTATTGAAAGGGCTCACTTAAATCAAAACCCAACAATATATCTTGCTCAATTGGAGAACAAAGGAATTGAAAGTCCTTAGGTTGTCAAAGTTTTGCCATGTTCACTGGCTCATTTGTCTTTATATTATTCATGTTTTTGCCTCTGGTTATATTGCTATATATTCTTGGACTTCTTCAATATTGGTGCAATGAACATAACCTGGCATCCAGCTATATGTTTGTGTGACACAGTGTTGCCACTTTTTTTGTATAAAGTATAGGAGTGTTTAAAATAGAAAGATACTTTGACGAAATTATGCTTTAAAAAACTTATACAGAAGTAAAATGCTTCACATTTGTATTTAGGTATATACTTAGGTAAATGTGAAGTGTTTTACTTCTGTAAAATGTAAAAATGTACACGCCACAGCCGTGAATGGCTGTGGCGTGTATTCATATTAAATTTGAAATTTGAATTCATATTAAAAAGCATTCATAAAATAGTATTTTTTATTTTAAATATAGCTAAATACTTTTGTTTAACCTAATTTTTTTTTCATTTAACTTTACTTTATTCTGTAGTTTATAAAGTTTCTAAACTATTAATTTTTAAAATCCACTAGGAAACTAAGTTCTATTTTACTACTATTTTAAATCTAGGTATTTATAGGTATAAGTATTTTAAATGTAACATATAATTTTATTTTATAATATTTATAGGTATAACTTTAATGCTTTTAATTATATATATATATATATAATATATATATTATATATATTATATATATATATATATATATATATTTCACATTTTTGTTTAATTATACATGTATTTTTCAATTTTACATTTTCATTTCATATAATATAATATAATTTTATATGTGAGAGTGGGAAATATTTGAGTATATGGCAACACTGACGTATATTAAGCTTAAGTCCGTGTCAGACGATCAAATATTTGATCAAACTAGTTTGACCAAACCAAAAAATTGACAGCATATGACGTCACATCCTGAGTTTGATCAAATCCTCTAAAAATAGAGGATCTTCTATTTTCAAGGTCAGTTTGATAAAACTTTAATTTTGATTGGTCGAAAAATATCAGAAGTCAAATGACAATCAGCAGTTAGACATAACGTATTTAAATTAATTTACTTTTTTTTTTGGTTGATAGTGTGTGGTTTATTTGTCTTCCTATTTTGTTATAAAATAAAAATAAATATTTTAAATATCTTGAAGCCAGGAACAAGTTTCTACATAATTGATTTATACCGAGAAAGAAGCTGTTTATATAATGTCAAACATCGATATTATTATAAAAATCCTTTCACCCTATTTATTTTCTTGTGTATGAGAAAAACTAGAATCGTAAATAAAGCCCAAGCAACTAATGAAATAAGCAAAAAAGACAATTAATTTCCTTGACATACGCCAATTTGATCAAATTTGAATGATCGTGTGACAAGTAGATTTTTAAAATTTGAACAAACTGTAATTATGACGTCATTACGTCAGTTTGCTCAAACTAGTTTGATCAAATATTTGACCGTCTGACACGGACTTTACATTTAACGTCAAACATATCAAGGAGGTTATGTTCATTGCACCAATATTGAAGAAGTCCATCTTCTTTATACATGGTATTATCAATAATTGTTTTTTAAGTAACATGACAAACCTAATTTTTTTGTTTTTCTGTTAATATTTTGAAATAAATTGTTTCCCAAACTCTTGACTGATTCTGCTAATATGTTTGCTTTTTTGCCTTTTCTGTATTATTTGCAAAAAGTGCATGAACAGGAATATTTACATCTCATCTAATTTACCACCATGGTTTGACAAGATTTGCAGATATGTGATGAGAAATATATCTGTTCATGTATTAGTAATCATCACCAAATAATTTCCTTTTATATAACTTTCTAGCTTGTGGATGTCCAAAACAATCTCACCGAAGACACAAGCAATAGTCTGCCATACCCCATCATCTTCATAATCAGTTTCCATGGTTTATTATAATGGAATCTTTCTCCCTGTTCTTCACTGTAGATTTCTGGAAATTGATCTAAAGTGAATGGGGAGGTAGTAAACTTTAATGTCCATGAATATAAAAATTGGAAAGTATATTTTCTACTAATTTTATGTAATTCTCTGCCTTATGGTTTCCAAGAAAATATGATACTACTTAAACAGCAATAAATTCAACTTCCGTTCATGTGTGCTATGAATTGTGAATCTTTAATAAGCTGTATTATTTGGGGACCAGTGAATATTCTGGCTTTCTCAGTTTTTCTAGGCTTATTCCAAGAAATTTACTGACAAGTATCCAAAACATTGTCCATCGATCTACTAAAGTCTTGATGGTTTGCTGTATAAGCTCCAACTTGATACACAATTTTGTTCGGGCTGGTGATATTGTTTGATATTCCTCTTTCATTTTTAATAACCAATTGGTATCGAGCCAACTTTGTTACCATTGTGTAAAATGACAGGTTTCAAACTATGTTTTGAAATGTTGATAAAATGGAGCTGCACCATTCGTATTTTGTATAGTTAGTGTTTTTACATGAATCCAGATTATTTTCTTGAGAAAAGGAGACTAGATCTCTATTTACTTTATTATACAATTTAATATTAGTACCTGGGTATAGAAGTTTTTTATTATTTATCTAAAAGCAAGTAATTAAGAAGCCCCTTTGGAGAGGATCAGGTCTCCAAAAAAAAGTCCTTCGGCTCTTGTTGATTAAAATGTGGGGGCTTCCCAGATCTGCTTGAACATCACTGTGGGTATCCAATTACAAATACTCAACTTCCTTAATATTTGTTTCTTAACTTTTGCTGAACTTAAATAGACCACTGAATGTTAAAATGGGAATTTCTTCCAAATATGATACTACCCTTACTTCTGAAACTAGGTCAGAATATATCCATTTTTGTTTATTTCTCTGATTGATGTGTGTTCATTATTTACAATACAAAAATAAAAATAATGATTATTTCTTGGTTTCCTTCAAATCACTGCTACTCCAAACAGTAGACACTTTATTATCCCATTGACCATTTGAGTAAATGTTCAAGACATATTTTATGTACCAAATGTGGAGCCGAAGATTTATTCTGGTCTCCAAAGTGACCTAAAAGTAAGCCAGATAAACTCTTTTTAGAAAGTCGGAAAGTCTGTTTTCCTTGTCTGTGTTCCTTCAAAATATATTATTGAGTTATATTTTATTATTAGCATTTTATAGTTATTAGTTTTGCTTTTTGTTTTCTTTTTATAAATCTAACCTTAACAAAAAACAGTATTTCTTAAAATTTAATTTCTGCTCTTTATCGGGTTTGTAAATTACGTATCTAAAGGTCACAAATACTTCATGTAATTTCAGGGCAGTGATGTGATTTACTATTCCCACTCAAATTCCCGCGCTTTAATTGTCATACAAGGTCTCACGCTTCAGGAATTTTTGTAAACAGCGGCAACGTAGCATCTCGTGTTCAAGATTGCATCATGTTGTACAACTACCATGGCATGTGCCATGTGCAGATCGATCAAAGTAGTAATTTATCATCTTGTACATGATTTTCTGCAATGGTAGGGGTGAACTACCTACTTTCACGTACCTGAAACCCATTTATTTGTTTCAAGTTCTGTACTTTCGAATTGCTTCTATAAAAGAATGCAGACTAGCTTGATAATTATATAGGGTGAAATACATTATTTTTATGAAATATGTAATCTGTTTGTTTATGCTTGCAAATGTTTTTATGTGGAAGATATTCTGAATTTTGCTTTACAATTATTATTTATGTTTTCTAAAATTTTTCTCAATTCTTTCACATCTTTAGTTTTTTCCGTTACATATTTTTGGTTTATCTTTTAGATGATAGCTTTTATAAGACTTTCTTCTCAACACGTGCCCCGTGTGATATCCGTCTGTTATCCTCAGATTAATTCATATAAAAATTGCTGGAGAAAAATTTATGTCGAAATACTATATCACATTTGAAAATGATTGGTAGCACAAATTTTATAGCAAAGGTCTAAATACAGGATACTAAATAAATTTACTTTGGGTACTAGCGGCATATAAACTTATAATTACATAGTAATATGTAATCATCATCATCATCATTTTGCCTTTACAACCCTGTGTGGGTCCTAGCCTCCCAAAGAATTCTCTTCTAGTCGTCCCTATCAATCGCCTTCCTCTGCCAAGCAGGTATTTCCATATTTCTCATATCTTGAGTAATATGTAATTACGTACCTAAATACATAAGTTGTCTTTTTCCGATAAGGAGGCATTATCCTCAGTTTTCTTCATTTCCCACAGAAATAATGTTTCCCCTATTAACATATCGAGTTTTCAGAATTTTCTTTCTCTGCTAGGACATGTCTTATAGCTTTTTACCAATTGTCAGATGAAATTTTTGATGTAGACTCAGATAATAGTTGACGGAACATCTTCAAGTTTAAATGTTATATTATTTCTCGCGACATATCCCTTCATTTGAGCCCAAATTAGTTCTATGGGGTTTTAAGTTAAAGTTTTAAGACAATTAAACGGCAACCTTGGCCATTAGGAGATTTTAAGCCCGTAGACAAACCTTCTATAAATTCCTGACGAGTATCTGTAACCTGTTTGTCTTGTCAATTTTTTTTTTACAAAATGGCCTTCTCTCCTCAATTTTCGAATTTCCCTTACATATAGCCTCTCCTGGAGACAATATGTAAGGAGACATTATTATTTTGGAGACGACACAACAAGAAACAGAAATGGCGTAGCGATAATAGTAAAAAAGGGAAATAGCTAAAGCAGTAATAGGATTTACGCCCATATCAGACAGAGTTGTGCTACTGCAAATTAACTCAGGTCCCTCTAATATAAACATCATTCAGGTCTACACATCGACATCAGAATCTACTGAAGAAGAAATAGAAAATTTCTATCAGACTCTAGAAGACTCTCTAAAACTGACCAAAAAACATGAATTTACTAGTATCATTGGCGATTTCAATGCTAAAATAGGACTAGGTACAGTCGAGAATGTCGTGGGGTCATATGGTCTTGGGATAAGAAACGAAAGAGCAGAAAGACTGATCCAAATCTGCCAAGAGACAGATATGGTTGTAACGAATACACTTTTTAAATTGTACCCAAGAAGGCTTTATACATGGAAAGTATCCGGTGATACCCCAGAGAAAATCATAAGAAACCAAATTAATTTTATCAACATAAACAAAAGGTAAAAATCATATTCAGGCGCAGATGTCTTCTCAGGCCATACTCTATTTTCTATACATCTACTCAGTGGGTGTGGCTTGATAGTCGCTGCTGTGTATGTGGAGGGAGCGTGGCTTACCATGATATTGCTATTTAAAATTTTCCCAGGCTCAAGTACCCCATCTTCTTCTTAGGGTGCCTGTCCGTTCCGAACGTTGGCGATCATTCTGGCTATGATGATTTTGTTGGTTGCTATACGAAATAGCTGTGTTGAGGTCTTTCTATACCATGCTCCCAGGTTAGCAAGCCAGGATATTCCAAGTACCCCATACTCTGCTATAAACTATAAAACAGTACAAAACTGTTTTATAGTTTCATAGTTTCAACACGCACTTAGTATTCCATACTGCTAACCACATGGATTGCTACACAAAAAGCTTAATAAGACAACTAAATGTGGTTTATTAAAACGCTATCCATTCAATAAACCTTTCATTCAAAACCGCTGTCTGTCTGTAACCTATAGTAGGGCTTTTAGTATTTTACGTTTCATACAATGTTGTCGTCTAAAGGTTATTCCACGAATATACGACTGTTTGGGATTATTGCGACAACGAATATTTTACTGTGCAAGTAGAAGTATGAAAGTAAATTGGTCTAATTATTATTCCAATAAAAAGCATCTACTGTTAGTATTACATCTGAACTAAAATCATTTCAGTTAATAGATGTACAAATAGACGCAAAATTTATTGTGAAATTTAATCCGAAAATAACAAAAATTTTTACGCAAACGCTCATTTTTACGAAAATGTGTTCATCAGACATTTGGGTTCGATTTCGGTGAAATGTAAACAAAGTACATTTGAAATGTAAACATTGATGTAAACGATGTAAAAATGTAAACGATGGTTCAGAAACCAGAAATAGAATATAATACATAGTTCACTTTGTTAGTTTTAAATATTTGTTTGGTTTGAGTGTATGTACTCTTAAGTTCCGAAAGTTTTTTTATAACGGGTATAATATACCGGCTATTGATAGTTAAAGTACCGAGTCGTTCAGATAGTAAAAAGTAACGAAAATTTACATAGTTTCATATATCGCCGACTGATTTTAGTTTTAAAAACCGTCAGTATAGAGGTTTCCGGTGAAGAGAGGTGTCCGTTAAGAGAGGTGTCCGTTAAGATAGAGTTTAGTGTAGTGTATTTGTTTATTGAAGCCAACAATGCCGAGACGTGTTTTAAACGTAGACAAGTTTATGTTTAATGTACTTTCTTATTTTACTGCTGAGAAAACCAACGGGGGCCCTTTGCGACCTGGTCAGTCCGTACATAAACGTGTGTGTGATGCACTCTGTATTAGTGAAACAAAACTAAAGTCGGTTTTGCAAAAAGGAAAAAAAAGAGGAGAAAGTGAACAAAATGTCGCACAATATAAATCTCGCTGACAACCAAAGACTATAGATCTTCCCGAAGGTTGCAAATTTGAAATCCGTGAGACAATATCTAAAATGCGCGAAAAGAAAGAACATGTTTCTTTAGATTCAGTGCTACAAAAATTAAAAGACAGAAATATATTTGAAATTTCCAGAACAAGTCTCTGGAGAGTTTTAAGACAGATTGGCTTTAAGTTCAAAAAGGAAGATAATAGAAAGGCTTGTTCTTCCTTCGTTTATTTAGACGAAACATGGATTTTTGCTAAAGGCGGTATCAAACGAATGTTGCAGGACGAGAGTATAAAATCCATAAAACACATCGATAACAAGGGAAAGAGATATATTATAGTACATGCAGGTGGAAAATATGGTTTTATTGAGGGAGCAGATCTTGTGTTTTCATCAAAATCAAAATCAGCCGATTATCATGACAATATGAATACGGAGATGTTTGTTAAATGGTTGAAAGAAAAACTGTTGCCAAGTTTACATGAACCATCCGTTATAGTACTGGATAATGCTGCGTATCATTCGGAAATTTTAAATAAGCAACCAACAAACACCTGGACTGTAGATAAAATAAAAGATTGGTTAACGAATAAAACTATTACATTTCCTCAATACTGTTTTAAGCCTCAATTACTAACGTTAGCTAAAAGTCATGCACAACCAAACATTATATATATATATATATATATATATATATATATATATTATATATATATATATATATATATATATATATATATATATATAAATAGTAGACAAAATTATACATAGCTTTGGACATCGTGTGTTAAGACTACAGCCCTATCATTGCCAATTCAATCCAATTGAATATATTTGGGGGATCTGCAAAACATATGATAACCATATTGGATACAAGGGTTACAGTGACGAGGCACTCTTGGAAACATGGCAACAAGCATTGGATATTGCCACTCCTGAAATTTGGGGAAAAAGTGTAAAAAATGTGAAGACTTAATTAAAGAATGGTGGATCCGTGAAGGTCGCATCGAAGCAGTGAATCCTATTATAATTTACCATCCAAATGAGGATAGCGACGACAGTGACTATGGCTGTGAATCTGATGGTTGATAATAGTTTTAGGAGATTAGGTGGATAAGAGAATAAGTAAGTTTTTTTGTTTTTTTAATACTAATTGAATATTCGACTAAATAAAGTACACTATTTAATCACTTAAGTATTGTTACACTTCGTTTAAATAACTTAATTAAAACACCAACTTGTTTAAAATACTAAACTCAATGATAGTAATTATATAATTTAAATTCTGAATTACAACTATTATATAAACTTTCAACTCTATATTTATATCATGACTTCATATTTAAATCTAAGGTTTATATCTGCCATAACAGTATTTTAAAAATGGGGAGAATTTACTATTGTACAATGCAGCACATCGGACCATTTAAGTCGAGACCTTAAAGCGAATTTAAAACAGTCGTATATTCGTGGAATGGAGTATAGTTTCATTATGTCACTAGCGAATTTCCATTTGAGTTGAAAAATTCCTTTCTTTGGTAAATCGTCCTTTTGTTTTCATTGATTGGTGGCATTTCGGTAATTCGTATAAAACAACATAATAACATTCTATGTACTTTCCGTCCATACTTTCTTAAGTGTAAAGACTCTTAGTCTGGCCTCTTGGTTACGGTAGTTTACCGTAGAAAGATAGAATAAAGTATATGTTGACAAAACGAATATGTCAAGGTATATTTTTCTAATCGAATGGCAGCGCTCTTAGATACACCTTTAGTTGGAGTAAAATTTAGGTGAAGGTAGAAATACTGTTTTGGAATCACCCTCTTACATAAAGACAATTTGCGTAATGTCATCCCTTCGTGGCATATTAATCATTGTTTGTTATTTTTTTTTTCAGAGCCATTATGGCGCCTTTTTCTTTTATCGCCGTTCCGGCACCATCGCTATCTTTACACTTATTGGAAAGTCTTTCCGAATCAAGTACCGTAAGCAGCACCGTCCTCTTCCACAATGAGTTCTGTGCTGGTATGGAAACAGGAGCCGGCCTCGCCGTCGTCAGACTATGACGAGGCCGCTCTTCTGGACGCCACTATCTACAATGCGACCCCATTTGAGTTAGACATCAAACTCAACGATGAACTCGACAATCTGGCAGAATTCGAGTCTAAGGCAGAAGTCGCTTCCCACATACTCGAGAATCTGGAGAATCTTATGGATCTAGATGAACTGATCAAAGATGGTGAGTATTTACGCTTTTGTTTTTAATATAATATGTATTAGTAACTACAAGAGTAATGTGTAATGAACCATTATAAGACCAGGCGTGATCTGTAGAAATTCAAACTATAATGGACATTTTCCATAGGAAGCTATTTTTTTGCTGGAATTACTTCAGGATGTGCTCAATATCGATAATCACGATATGCGCCAGTCGCAAAACCTGTGCTAAATTTTTTACTTAACAAAATCTGAATACAATTGAAAATTTCTCATTTTTTTGTTTCTATTTTCGTTTATAATTCGGAAAATATTGATACTAGAGAAAAAAGAAGTTAAAAGTTTCGTTATTCAATTTTACACAATATTTCGTTAGCTAGAAATTGAAAATTTAATGTTTATTGTTGAAAAAATAGCAATAATTGGAAAAAAAGTACAAAAAAATGAAGTTAATCCTATGTTTTCGACTTTCTAAACTTGACTTACAAGCTCCATATTCCGCCTAGAAAAACTTTTGAAACGTGTGCTAAATTTTGTTAAGATCGGTCGAATAGGTTTTGCATAATAATTTTGCAATCCAGCCTACCGAAAAAAAAATCGCAAATTTTCAAATTTATAGTAGGTCCTAAATAAGGCCCTCAGATAGTTGCAAATTTTTTTACATATAAAGGAAGGCTCAAACTTTCAAACGCCTTTTGTAAAATTCAAATCGGTTCACTGGGAGAGCCTAGAAAATATTTTAAAGTTTTAAACATTTTTAGGCTTATAAACAAATTGAATAACTTTACGAGCATTAAACATATCAATTTTAAAATTTATACACTTAAAGAACATTAAAAGATGCTTCTTTATATATATAAAAAAAGATACATTCGGCTTACTGGTTGCCGAGATATCCCCGAGGCTGAAGAAGAAGAAGAACTCATCTTTAATTTTTATTCCAGAATTTGGCCATCGAACTTCACTGCATCCTAAAATATCTATGTCATTTCTTGAATAGTATTTGCTGCTTTGCCTGCTTGGTACATGCTTCGAATGTTTCATATACTGATCCTTTTAACTTTTGGGACATTATTGGCTGACCGGGGGATTCTTAGCACCCTCCCCCACTTAGAGTGTGCCCGGACTGAGGGCCGTTTGTTTTTGATTTTCAGCCATTGTGGTGTTCTGGGATATCCTTACGAATCTTTAATGTGGTAGTCATCCCGTGGCTTTCCACATCTCAATGCCTTTGGCTAATTTAGCTCTTCCGCCTTTGGAGGCAATTTCTCAGCTCCAGGGCAATGAAGTGCCCTACCACATGTCAGTTCTTCCACCCATAGTTGTTGACCAACAAATGGGGGATGATTACTTTCACCGGTAATCATTCGGTTACTTCGCAGTATCACAACTGGTTAAATCATAATCACCGCCTGTGATTATTCAGTATCAGACCGGCAAAGAAATTTTTGTCTACCGCTCCGATCCTGTAATGACATAGAGCTGCTGACATATGCCATGCTCTCAGTAGATCCGCTTGTGTTTATTTGGCACAGCCTTTTTCACACATGTCCCACATATCTGTAGGACGTTCAGCCATCAGCCATTGGTACGCGCCGTGTTGAGGTTGAGAAGTACCCCCTCCGAGTGTGTTTTCCAAGAAGTACTGAAGGGCCCCTACTCAATTCAGGACCCCTCCTTGGAAACTACACCGGCACCGGATACGTGGGCTATAATAACATCCTATCAAATCCCCCATTAAGATTCCTTGCTTTCTCATTTGACAACGTTTTTATTTATGATAATGTAAATATAACTTTACTTTTAATAATGATGAAAGATGATGCCTAAAAACGAAATTTCAAATTTTTGACGGATTGAATGATATTCCAACGGTTACTGAATGATCTAGTATACCATGAACCGTTACTAAATGTCTGCTAAAATATAGGTTGCATATTCGCGACAGTATAGTTTTTGTATATTCGCTCGTTTTAGTATTATATTAATATCTTATCATTGATACCCAAGGAGCTCGATAATAAATTCATTTTAAATCGAGATCATAAAAATTTATCATATAACGTTCCATTATTGAGGCCTAGGAGAACAATATCGCTTGTTAATTTGAGTTCATTGAAGCCGACAATTTATTTGTCATCATTCTAATTGCTGGCTCATTAACCGCTTAATGTCTATAATAATGAAGCTTAGTTTAGGAATTGGCCTGATGATAAATGAATTTGATGAACAAGCTAGTTAGAAAGTACAATGTGGCTAACAAATGCAAGAAAATATTTAAAACAATTTCTGTAAACTTAATATTGTTTACCTTAAAAATCACGTAAAAATTGTAAAAAGTGGCTTAAATTGTGGTTGTATGCTCCCGACAAAATTTTGAAACGCTTCATTATCTTAATTTTTACATATCTAGTTCGCTTACCGAAGCTTAATATACTCTACCTTACTGTGTAATAACATACAGTACATACCGGAAAAATGGAAATATGTATATATTACTTCATATAGAAAAATTTATTCTTCTTTGAAAATAGTTTTCATTTAAAGTCCTATCAGATATCTAAGAGAATCGTTAATATTTATTATCGATAACTGTATACCGCAAGCTCATCTTATTATTATTATTATTATTATTATTATATAAGCGAGGGCAGAGGAACTAAGTCCCTATTATGCCCAAAAACAAAGAAATTTCATTAATCACCTACTAGTAAATAACAAAAATTACAAATAAAAGAAATAAAATTACAATTTTTGGTTTAAAAGAAAAACAATATTTTAACTATAATATAAAACGGTCGAGTCTGTTTTTGAACGAGTTGGTAGAGGAAGCGGAGACAATGTTATCGTTGAGGTTATTCCAGCACTCAAAAACTCTATTTGAAGAAAGTTCTGTCTTTGTCTTATAGAAAAGTTTTCTTTCTTTAGTTTATATTGATGACCTCTGAGGCGTTCATCTTGGTTTATGATAAATATTTCATCGAGGTTTCCAAAATTGAATTTTAGTATTTTGAATGTTGTAATTAAGTCTCCACGTTGTCGGCGAAGTTCAAAAGTAGTTAGGTTAGCCATACTAAGTCTTTCTGCATAAGACGGTCTTCTCGGTCCAAAGAAATTCGAGTGGCTTTTCTTTGAACGTTTTCCAACAGAGTCTTGTCTCGAACCAGATCGGGATACCACGTTGGTCCAGCGTATTCAAGTATGGGTCTTACGTACAGAGTGTAAAGTTTGCACAATGATTGCATTGAAACTCCCGAAAAACACCTCCGAATAAGATACAGTCTGGAGTTTGCACGTTTACAAATAGAGGTAATATGATCGGACCAAGTTAGGCTGCTGTTCACAATAAAACCAAGATCGTTATACGAAAACACAGATTCTAATGGCTGCCCGTTAACAAAGTACGGCACAAGTGGGTTATTTTTGCCAATTCGAAGCACTACACATTTTTCCGCGTTTAAGGGTAGTAACCACTGGGAACACCAAGTTAAAATAGAGTCCAAGTCCATTTGGAGGGTTAGCTGGTTTGTGTTTGGATTGGCATATATTTTTGTGTCGTCAGCGTAAAACGATATTTTACTTGAGACATAATAAGGAATATCGCTGGTGTAAACCGTAAAAAGCAGAGGTCCAAGGACAGAACCCTGAGGCACTCCACTTTCCACTAACCTGTCCTGTGAGAAAGATTCGCCAACTCTAACTTTGTAATATCGATCTGTCAGGAAATCATCTATCCAACGAAGTAAAGTACCGCGAACTCCGAAATGTTCTAGCTTATGTAGAAGTCTGCGCTTAGGTACACGGTCAAAGGCTTTAGAAAAATCTAGATAAACAACGTCGACCGGCTGCGAACTGTTAAGGGATGAGGTCCAGTCGTTAACACAATGTAGGAGATTGGTTAGAGTAGAGCGACCAGAGACAAATCCATGTTGTTGTGTTGGAATAACATGTTCCTGGAGAAGGAATTTGGTCATCTCCTCGGAAATAATGGCTTCCATAACTTTGGCAACTACTGGCAGCAAGCTAATCGGACGATAATTGTTGGGGTCGAGTTTGTTGACTTTTTTAAAAATAGGGGTAACGGAAGCTAATTTCCAACTAGGGGGTAAGGAGTTTTGGATGAAAGAGGTTTGCATAATTAACGTTAAGGGTATTGCAAGCGTGTCTGCGCACCTTTTTAACAGTTTTGGTGTTAAACCATCTAAACCAGGTGAAGCGGCCGTGCGAAGTTTAATTAAGTGTTGTTTGACATGATCCACTGTGAATTCAACTTGCTGTAAGGATGCGCCGACACGATTACAGTTAACAGCAGGTAGATAACCATCATTTAATTCTTTAGTAAAAACCTGTGAAAATGCTAAAGAGAGAGTTTCGGAAGATTCTTTGTCAGAAGAGCATAAAGTCTGGTTGGATTTTTGAAGTAGCGGAATGGAAACTTTAGATGTCATGGAGCAAAGTATGTATTTATAGACTTTTTTAATGTTACCACTTTCAATAACGTTTGCTTCAAAATTTTGTCTTAGGGTTTTTAGAGATGTTTTTAAGTTATTTGAAAATCTGCGGTGGCTTTGGAAATCACTAAGAAGCCGGTGTGTTTAAATTTTCGCCATAGATGTCGTTTGTGATTAATTTGTTTAATTGCTGTTCGATTTATCCAGGGTTTGAGGTTGTTTTTATAACTTTTACGGAAAATAGTATTTGTAGAAATTATATAGTGGACTTTATCGAGAAATGCAGTCCACATTAATGAGGGGTCGTTTAAGTCTGCAAAAAATAAATGCCAGTCGATTTGAGAGAGTTCAGTGTCAACTTCAGAAAAGTTGGTAGTAGCATATGTTACAATGTTATTTTTGCGGGAGTAATATTTGATTGAACTGGATGTGAGCCGTTATAACTGCATGATCTGACTTTCCTATGGGAGAACTGACTTCGAGAGATGAAATCAGCTGTTCGTCATTAATAAGCACTAGATCTAAAGTAGAAGGTTGGTTATTATTCCTAAATCTTGTAGGTTCTGTAATG